TGTGACCCCTCTCTGGCCCCCTCACCTGCCCAGGCTCCCAGCAGCAGCAGAAATATCCATGCCAAGACTGCAGCCAGTGGGGGGCGTCCCATGGTGGGGGTCTGGGAGAAGAGCGGGATTGCGAGAAGAGGATGGGAGGTGTCCGGGTTTCCTAGTGCCGGGATCTTGGGATTGGGAAGGACATATGGACGGAGATGAGAGGCATCCCAAAAGGCTGGGGACACAGCACGCATTCACTGCCATCCAGTTTGATGCTCACCTAGAGGACAGGGCAGAACTGCCCCTGTGAGTCTCCGAGACTGTGAGTCTGTCTGTCTGTCTCTGGGGGACTGGGTTCTAGGGAGGATGGCAGTGGGGGCTCTGGTCTCCTGGGTGCTGGAGAGGAGGGAGCTGGGAACTCCGATTCCTAGGCCTAGGGAGGAAGGGGCTGGGGGGCGGGAAACCAAGGGCTAGTGAGTGGGGGTGGGATAAGGGTCCGGATGCCTGCATCCGAGGGAGGAGGGGGCTGGGCCCCGGATTCCCCAGACTGAGGTGGGGGAGGGCTGGGGGCCAATGCCTGTGTCTAAGTCCGAGAGCATCTCACCTCACAGACTCCAGGGGCGGGCTCACCTAGAATTCCTGCCCAGCAGGAGAAGCCCCAGGACTCCGGTTCTGTAAGACCGGTACTCGGTTCTGGAGCCTTTTAACTGAGAATCCCCGCCTCCGGTTCCGCCTCCTCCAGCTCGGGCGCCCTCGGAAGCCGCAGGGAGCAGGGAGCCTGGATCTGACTGAGGAGGTGCGCAGGGGGCTGCCCACGAGAGTCCGACACAGGACAGCCTAGAACCTCTGGGTCTGGAGGCGCTGGGGTTCAAGGCAGTGACTCTCGGGTCTGGGGGACGAGGGGCCTGGGGTCCGAATTCCTGGGACTGAGGCAGGAGGGGGCTGGATTCCAGGGTTTGAGGGAGGAAGAGGTCAGGGGTTTGGGAGTCCTGGGTCTGAGAGAGGAGGGACTGGGGGTTCCCCGGCTTCTGGGGTCTGGAGGAGGCTAGGGGGCCAGGACCCCGGGGTCTGAGGGAGGAGGGGGTTGAGGGCAGGATTCCGAGGTCTGAGACTGGAGGGGGCTGGGGGTCTGAGGGAGGAGTGGGTAGAGGACTCTCAGGTCTGAGACCGGAGGGGGCCTGGGGAGCTGAACTCCTGGTCTGAGGGAGGAGGTCCTTACCCCCACCCCTACCCCCACCTCATACTCCGGATCTGAGGGAGGAGTGATTGGAGGCTCAGATTCCCTGGTCTGAGGAGGAGAGGGATCCCCGCCTTCGCCCTCCCCTCCACCCCCAGCATTCCTAGTTCTGAAAGAGGATGGGGCAGGGGGCGCGGATTCCTGGGTCTGAGGAAGGAGGAACTGGGGCCCCCGGCTCCAGGGTCTGAGAAAAGAGCGATTGGCGCATTCAGACTCCTTTTCTGAGGGAGGTGGAGGGTGGGGCTGAGGACCCATACTCCTGGATCTAAGGGAGGAGGGACCGGAAGGCTGGACTCCTGGACCTGGGAGAGGAGGGGGCTGGCAGCCGAATTCTTGCGGGAGGAGGGGCTGCCCTCTAACTGGGAACGAAAACAGGTCTTTTGGGTCCAGAGTGGAGAGGGAGGACCAGGCTGCCCCTTGAGAGGCCTGGGATGTGGGAAGGCAGGTTTGGGAGGCGCCTGACCTGGTTTCCCCTTTCCCCGTTGCTGCAATAAGGCTGATGCAGGGACACTTGGGGCAGGACGCACTAGGGGCTCAGGGATAATTGCCTCTCGGGCGGGTCTCTCCACCGCCCTGCCTGCATCCCACAACGCAGCAGACGGAAGGAAGGCGCGGCTCCTCGCTTTTATTGCAAAACGAGCCATCGGCTCGGCAGGCACGAGACCATCCCCTAATGTCCCCATTCGCGTCCCGGGCCGGATTCAAACCCAAGACAAGTCCAAGGCCAGACCACGAGGGGCGGGGTCTGACGCAGGCCGAGTTCCAAGAGGGCGGAGCTACTGCTCCCCTGACAGCCCCGGGGGCGTGGGAGCCTGGCGCTCAGTGGGCGGGGCCACAAGGGGTGGGGCCCACAGGGGATGTTCTATTGGGCAAAGGTCCAAGGGGCGTGGCCACGGTGAATGCAGTTCCCTGGGGATGGTGCCAGTCATCTCTGCAACGTCACGGAGGTGAAGCCACGATGGGTGGAGGCTTCTCTGCGCCCCGTCAGGGGGACGGGGGCCACATGGTGGGGGTGGAGCCTGAATACGCAGCAGCGCAGTCAGGAACGCAGCTGCAGGCCCCGGGTGGCGTCCCCCGAGGCTGGAATCCTGCAGCTCACTCAACCTCACTCCCAGAGTTCCCTCTTGGTCTACTACCGCGAAGCCTCAGTTTTCCTCCATGGTCTTTCGGATCCAGTCCACGTAGTGGCATACGCTGGTATAGACGGCGGGGCGCCGGGGTCTGGAGCAGGGCTCTGAGCCCCCAGACACTACACCGGCCAGGGTCCCATCACAAACCAGGGGGCCTCCAGAGTCACCCTGTGGGCGAGGTTGAAACCGGTTAGCTTAAATGGTTACATCACATCACATTATACCGGCGACCCTCCCCATCTTCTCCCTCACCCCCTCCACTCCCAGCCCCCAGGAAATCCAGGTCCCCTGCCCCTCATCCGGAAACCTCCCTCAATCCCCTCTCTCTTCAGATCCAGGAGTCCAGGCCCCTAGTCCAGCCTCCTGCAGGACGGAGGTGTCCCAGCCCACCTCCCTTTATCCCAGAATGTCAGGGGGCCCAGTCCTGGGCGACGGCCCCTCTCTGAAGTAGGCCTCACCTGGCAGGAGCCTCGGCCGCCCTCCCAGAGGCCGGCACATAGCATGCTCTTGGTGATGTGGCCTGGGTATGCCCTGCTGCAGAGGTTGGTCTCTAGGATGCTGATGTTGGCACATTGCAGGGTTTTCGGGTACTCTACTGTTGGAGGAAGAGGATCATGGATGGTCAGCAGTGGACTCCGTCCGAGACAGGCCCTGGCTGGGACCCTCTCTGCAGACTTCCCAGAGGAGAGAGATCCACAGCAGAGAGAGTCACAGGAGGAAAGAGACTGTGAGGGAGATGGGAGGGGAGAGGGCCAGAGAGAAAGAGAGACAGGGAGAGAGAGAAAGCAGGCAGATGCACCCCATAGGGGTTCTGAGGCTGTTGTGTTTATAGAATGGAGCCCTCATGGCCCTGTGGGGTCAGCATTGGGCTTCGAACTGAAAGATGGGTGGCGGTTCAAACCCACCCGCTGCTCCATGGGAGAAAGATGAGGCTGTCTGTTCCAGGAAAGATGGACAGTCTCAGAAAACTCTACACAGGGTTTCCATGACTAGATAAAGGGCCGCTGTGCCTTGCCATCAGTGCGATGGCATTGGGGCTTTGGTTTGGGGTAGTTAAGAAGTAAGGAGTCCTGATGGCACAATGGTTAAGCACTCGGCTCAGCTGCTGACTGAAAGGTTGCTGGTTCCGTTCCATCCAGAGGCCCAGAGGGAGAAAGACATGCTGACGTGCTTTGGGGAAGATTCCCCAAACTCATACAATCAAACTCACTGCTGCAGTCCAACACACTCACTTCTCTTGCGAGGATGCTGACTCACAGTGACCCTAGAACAGGGTAGAACCGCCCCTGTGAGTTTCCAAGACTGTACATGATTATGGGCGGAGAAATTCCTGTCTTTCTCCTGCAGAGTGGCTGCTGGTTTCGAACTGCCAACCTTGAGGATCGCAGCCGCACAAGTAACCACTACACCACCAGGGCTCCTTATCCTGACTACCTAGCCATCCTATATAGTGGTTTCTGAGGCCAGAAATCATTATGGTTGCAGACAGCCTTGTTTTCCTCCCCTGGAGTGGCCAGTGAATTCGAACCGCCAACCTTGCGGTTAGCAGGCCAATGTTTATGGGACAGTGCCACGATTATAGCCTGGGAAACACCGTGGGGCAATTCTTCTCTGTCACACGCGGTCACCACATGTCTGAAGCAATTACAGGGCATCTAACAGCCGTTAAGAAGTAGAAACGAATGAAAAACAAATGAAACCCCCACCACCCAACTGGGGAGCTGAGGGTCCAGAGTAAAACTGTGCTCCACGGGAGTTCCAAGCTGTGGTCTTTGGGGAGCACATGGTCAGGCTGGTCTTCTGAGGCACCCCTGGGGTCAGGGATAAGGTGCTTACCTCTTTGCTCCACCCAAGGCCACAAGAAGCCGATTTTAGGGAAGAGAGAGAAAGAAGCCCATTGCTGTGTTGATTCTGACTCTTAACCCTATAGCACAGAGTAGGCCTACTCCATAGGCCTCCCCAAGGCACAAGTCTTCACAGAAACAGGCTGTATCATCTTTCCCCTGCGGAGCAGCTGGGGCGTTCAAACCATTGACCTCTTGGTTAGTAGTGGAGTGCTTAACTCATTAGTGGACATAACTATAGGTCTAGATATGGATATAGATATAGATCGTAGTAGAATGCTCAACTCATTGTTACCAAGGCATAGCGATAGAGCTAGTGAGCTAGACACATACATATATAATACATACGAGGAGGCTTTTAAAAGTTCATGGAAAAATTAAATGAACATATAGTAAGATATTTTCCATGGAATTTTTAAAGCTCCTATATGCCTATATCACATACGTGTGCAAACTCAGGTGCTTTTGGGGTCCTGATGAGTGATATGGGTGCAGGGGTCTGTGAAGGGAGAACGTGTCTCATGGGGTGGACTGTAGTGAAGCCGTGAATTCACGTCATGTCTGAAGGGGCAGCCTTTAACACTGGCTGCTATTTGAGTGAATATGAGGCTCTGGTGGTATAGTGTTCATGAGTTGGGCAAGGTCAGCAGTTCAAAACCACCAGCCGCTCCATGGGAGAAAGACGAGGCTTTCTACTCCAGTAAAGAGTTACAGTCTGGAAACCCCACAGGGGCCATTCTGCCCTGTCCTATAGTGTCTCTATTAGTCAGCATCGACTCGATAGCAGTGGATTTGGGGTTTTTTGTTGTTGTTGTTCTTCAGTAATGCCAATTAAACAAAAATTAAGCAAATCTAGAAATCTTGCTTTCCTGTTAAAATCTCCCAGGGTTTAGATGAGGGCAGCAACAAATCTGTACTTTCGTCCTGCTCCTTTGAAGACTCTGCTGATACGCATGTGCCTTATTTGGTGTCTGAGAGCTTTTATATTTGACTTTCACATTTCAACATTTCAGAAATCAGGATGGGTCAGCAGTACATGGTGTCATGCCCTGATCAATAGGCTTGCTGGCTCACAAAGGAATGATGAACCTTATAGTTTATGGCATCTTATATTTGATGAGAGACCTGATAGCGTCATGGGTTAACCACCTGGAAGGTCGGTGTTTCAAATCCACCAGCTACTCCATAGGGGAAAGAAGCGGCCATCTGCTCCAGTCAAAATGTTCAACCTTGGAAATCCTAAGGAGTAGTTCTAATCAGCTCTATAGGGTCACTGTGAGTCAGAATCAACTTGGAAGCCGTGGGGTAGGTTTTTTTTATGTGTGTGTATATATTTGATAGAATGTCTACATGGGTGAATTAGAGAGATGTTATTGTTAGATGTTGTCGAGTCTACTTAGGCTCATAACAATATCATATGGTAAAGTCAAACTGCCTCATAGGGTTTTGGGGGATATCATCTTTACAGAGAGATAGCCAGATCTTTCACTCATGGAATCATTGGGTGGGTTGGAACCACCTCCTTGACAGTCAGCAACCTAGTGCTTAGCTGTTGTGCCACTGGGACTCCATAATAGATAGTTGGATGGATGGATGGATGCATGGATGATGGATGAATGGCTGATGGATGCATGGGTAGGTGGATAGTTTAATGGTTAAGTGAGTGGGCAGATAGATTAATGAATAGTCAGGTAGGTGGGTGGGCGGATGAGTAGGAGGGATGGATGATGGATGGATAGATAGATAGACAGACAGATAGGAAAAGAGAGAAAGCAATGCCACCCCCTTGGCATGGGACATAGCAGAGCACATTGCAGTGAGGCCATACCTATAGGACTGGACACAGCCCCCCAGCCTGAGATGAGGCACTGGGTGCCTGGGGAGGCACAGGTCTCACTGAGGTTGAGGGGCATCACTTCAGGACCCAGGTGTGCTTGCCTGGGCAGGCGCATCAGCATGATGTCATGGTTGTGGTCTTGGGCACTGAGGTCTCCGTTGAACCCGGGGTGGGGGAAGAAGTCTGTGACCCGGAACAGCTGCTCCGGACCCTCCCACCGCCAGATGTGGTGCTCCCCGAGGCGAACCCACAGGTACCTGTAGGGACAGGTCTTGGAGGTAAAACTGGGGCACGGTGGGCATTTCTCTGGCCCAGTCTTTTTTTTCTTTCAGTCAGAGTGCTTTGCGAGCCCCTCCATTAGGCACACATCATCTATTTGTGACCCAGGGTATGATTTTTAAGCACGATATGCCGCCTCTCTGTTTTCTTGTTTGTCTAGGGTGCTCTGTGATTTTAAACAAGACAGGTGCCATCTCTGTGTTAGAATACTCTGTGTTTTAATGAAGACATCTACTCTCAGTTTTCTTCTGTATCAGGGTGCCCTATGAGTTGCAGCAAGACACATACCTGCTCTGGCCCTCATGGTGTCTTTGTGAACCCAGGGTAGTGTGTGGTTTTAAGCAGGGCACATACCTTCTCTGTATTTCTGTCCACCAGAGTGCTGTGTGACCCACCACATGCCATACACCCTCTCTGAGCTTCTGCTCCCACTCTGTCCCTTTGTCTGCCTCTGCCTTTGCACCCGTCCTCTCCAAGGCTCAAGGACCCTCTTAGCCCCATGCTGAGTGAGCCACCTCCCTCCGCCCTGCCTAGAGCCCTGGTGGTGACCTGGGTTCCCTGGAACTGTGTGGGCACGTGGGGGCCCCACCTACCGTACAACAACAGCCACACCCCCTGCCCCCACAGGTCCGGTGGCTTTTGTGGGGAGTGGCTCTCTGTGTGTTCGTGGTATATGTATATATGGGATATGGAAAATCCCCAGATGGAAGGTCATCTTGGAGGATTCTCTGATCTTGGGCGTCTACCTGCCATAACCCTCACCCTTCAACACAGTTCCTTCTGCAGGCTGAACCTCGAGTCCTCTTTCTGTGCTCCCAGCCCACTTGCTGCTCTCTGGCTTAGTGCCCTGGACACCCGGGGGCCCTCTGGGACTGTGTGTGTTTATTTCCCAGCCCCTGACAGTAAGAGACCCGCTGAGGACTTTGAAATCAGGATGTGGGGAACATGGGGTGGTGACTTATCCTCATCACCTCCTTATCTTGGCTCTGTGGCAGAGAGGTTAGCCTCTCAAACACCTCCCTTCACCGTTGCTACCTCTGTCTTCTGCCTCCCTGTCTCAGCTTCTGTCTTGCTTTGTTTTTTGGTTGAAATGGAAACATAGTTCTCCGAGCCTGATGCTAAAAAATAAAAGAAAAAAGAAAGGCCCTGTGTGGAGCAATGCAGGATGGGAAATTCCCACACAGATGTCCCAACATCTGCGCATCATTTCTGGAAGGAAAAACAGTGGACCATTATGGATGGCCACCCATCAACGATAGGGTAGAGGAGATGCCTGCCTCCAGCAGATCCCAACAGATTCCAGAATTCTCTTCTTTCAGGATGCCCAGAACCAAAAGTTCTAGAATCCTGAAGACCCTAACATTCTAAGAAGGAGCCCTGGGTCACAGTGGTTAGTTGCAATGGTCAGCGGTTTGAAATCACTGACCAGTTCATAGGTGGGAAATGAGGCTGTCTATATATAATCAGCCTTGGAAACTCTATGGAGCGATTCTACTCTGTGAGAGAGTTGCCGGGGGGCAAAATTGACTAGGTGCCAGCAGTCTTTAACAGGCTAAAATCCCATGATTCTAGGACTGAAATTTCATATCATTCTGGAGTTCCATAAATGTATAGGCTTCAGGCACTGATGAGTTTGAGATTCAACTAGTTCAAGACCCTTGGATTCTCTGCATTAAGGCTCTCAGGATTTGAAGAATCTAGAATGACAAGATTCTGGAATATTAGATCCATTAGATTCTTGACATGTATGAGTCTAAGTAAGCCCTGTTGGGGTAGTGGGTTACACACCTGGCTGCTGTCCACAAAACCAACGGTTCAAAGCCACCAGCGGTTTCTCAGGAGGAAAATGAGGCTCTGTACCCCCATAAATACTCAATTTCAGAAACCCACAGGGCAGTTCTATTCTGTCCTATAGGATAGTTATGACTCAGAATCAACACAAGGGTGATGAATTTTTTGGGGGGGAGTGTTTAGGGGTGGATCTAAGGCATGTGGCATTCTCAGCTCTTAGAATATTCTTGGCTCAAGATTCTAGACTTCTGAGAATCACAGTATTCTCAAACACCAGCAATGAAAGAGTGCAAGGATGCTTCTATATTCAGTGACCCTTGAATCCTCTGTGTCACATGAGAGCTCTTGAGACAGGACCAGTCCATGTGAAGACACACCATAAAACAACTCAAAGGTCACTGCCACCCAGTCAGTGCTGACTCATAGGGACCTCCTGTGGGTTTCCGAGGCTCTAACAGTTCACCGGAGTAGAAAGCCCTGTCTTTCTCCTGTGGAGCAGCTGGTGTTTTAAACTGCTGGCCATTCGGATGTAAACCACTACAGGACCAGGGCTCCCTCAGGACATACCACACAAGGGCAAAACTTACGTGGTGGATTTAGCGGATTTAGGACCTCACCACCACCGAACGAACAAATGGGGGGAGCAGGGCAAAGGCAAACAATTTCATGCATGAGTAAGAATTCACTACAAATTGAAATGAATAGTTTGAGGATGTCAGTTTGAATGGATTATCCCAATGAATTCCACCTGTTTCTTCTCTGCTTTTTTTGGTTTGTTTTTAAATCCGTCTGTTAGAAAACCCAACATAGACAACACAGTCGCTGGTGTTGAATTTCTGTTGCATGGGGCTCCCCTAGGATTCTATGATTCTAATGCTCTCAGCACTTGCGGGTCTGCCTGAGGCCACGCGTATAGATTCTTCCATGGACCCAAAATTTCCAGAGTCTGAGATTGGATCTCTGGATCACTGTCTAAGGATGTGAAGACCCCAATTTTCCCATCTTAGACCCCTAGGATCCAATATTTTAAGACCAGAGTCTTACAAGTGGTGTGGTGGATAAAGCGCTTGGTTGTCGGCTGAGAGCGCTCTAGTGGTGTGGGAGAAGGACACGCAGTCGGCTTCCCTAAAAATGTACATCCTCCCAATCTCTCTCAGGGAATCGAACTCCTCCGAAATGAGTTTGGCTTCTTACCTTCCTCATGCAGTGACCCTTTAAGATAGTTCCTCATGTGGTGGTGACCCCCCAACCACAAAATTATTTTTGTTGCTACTTCATCTCTGTCATTTTGCAACTGTGATGAATTAATTGGGCAACCTCTGTGAAAGGGTCGTTCGACACCCCCCAAGGCGGTCGTGACCCCCAGGTTGAGAACCGCTGGTTTAGGGCTTTTTGAAGTGTCTTTGGGGTGCGTGGGGTGGTGGGGTGCAGCCTTAAGGCGTTGGGCTGCTCACCGAAAGTTCAGGGGTTCAAGCCCACCAGTGGTCTCCTCCGGAGAGGGAGGACCACGCTCTCTGTCTCCGTCAGCATTGAGTCTTGGAACCCTACCTTGGGTCGCTTCTGAGGTGTTGGAAATGGGCTGGAAGACATTAACTGACCAGGGCGGTGGTTGGCACAAGCCCTGACGGCGCAGGGAGTTGCGCGTTTGGGCTGCGAATGGAAAAGGTCGGCAGTTGGAAACCACCAGCCCGTCCATGGGAGAAAGACGAGGCTCTCTGTTCGCGTAAAGACGATGAACGC